ACTTTTAGATATTATTGACAAGATGCAAAATACTTAACATTTATGGCCTTTGATATTTAAGATAAAATTTTTTAATGCTTTTGATAAGAAGTGTTTGCACTTTCTTACAAAAACTTGAAATTTATACAAAATATGCTCAAAAGATATTATTGAATATATGATCACTGCAAACTGAACATTAAGTTAGCAAAATTAATTATTAATTGCTTTGTCAAATAAAATTCAGATTTCCAACTATGCAGATGACACTGTTGTTAACTGAGACAAAGTATGACTTGTTAATTTTAATAGCTCAAAAATTAAAACTGCTCTTTGTTAATCATCTGGGAGACCCCTTTTTGCCTTGCATCAGGATGGCTGATGCTAACCTCCCAGTAGAGTGACTCATGTCTTCTCAGATTAACATTCTCAGTTACAACATTGAATGCATTCCTAGGTCAGCCCTAAGAAAGTTGATTCACTGTGTCATGCTAGACAATTTTTCTCTTCAGAATCTATCTTAGATATCTATGTCTATCTTTTGCCCATACTGAGAATATATATGCTGTGGTTCTCCTGCTATTTATTTAGAGATTCTAGATAAAATCCGAAGAATCAGCAATATTATTGATCCTGACCTGGCGTCTCGGCTTCAGTCACTTTCCCATCGCCATAAAGTTGCTTTCCTATGCCTTTTCTATAAATACTTTCATGATAATTATTCAGATGAGTTCTTCACTATGGTACCTAGACTTTATGAATTTAAGTGCAGTACTAGATTGGCAACTAGGTCTTATCAATTCACAGTTGAATTGGTTAGATATAACCATAAGTTCTATGCTAACAGTTTCTTTTCTAGCACTTCTTGCTTGTGGAACTCTCTTTTGGCTTCATGCTTTCTGGCATGGAGTCTGAAGAGATTTTTGATCGTTAAAAATTTAAATGCAATGTCAATCGCTATCTATTGTCTTCCTGGTTACTCTTCTTTCGTTATTGCTCCTTCATAATGTTTTCTAATTCTTTCACACCCAGTAACTTCCTTTGTCTTAGTGACTTTACTGTCTTGCTTGGTGTAAATTCAATTAAAAAGAAAAGCTAGAAACTGTTGTAATATTATGAGGATTTATTTTTATTGATTTCATTACAATCAGTTTACAGCCAGTTTTTAGTAGTAGTACTTGTATCTTGGATTTTATTACAATTAAATGAAGCCTAGCCAACCACTATTAATTTTGTACTAGTATTTCTTTCATATTAGTCTTAGCTGCTTTTTATTGTAACTACTCACATCATCAGACTAGGACCATTAGTAGATGTATTATCTTCAATTTTATTATTAGGGGCATTATCAATTGTTAATTTTAACTTTCATTCATTTTAATTTCACTTGTTTTTCATCTAGTAGTATTAGTAGTAATATTATCTTGAATTTGGATTAGATGAAGCATTGTCAGCCATTATTAATTTTTGACTAGTATTTCTTTCATCTTAATAGTTAACAATGCTTCATCTACTAAAAATAATAAAAATTCAAGATATTCTACATTTATTTCTGACCTGCAAGTAATTGCAAGAAAAAGCATGATACCATTAAAAATGGATAATTTGTTTTACGTCCTCAGGATTTGTAATGAGGTTTTTGCTTTCTCTTGTTGTCTATCGTTGGATAAAATGTTCTTAAGAGTCTCATACTTCCAGATATTTTTCTTTCTCTTGAGAAAAGGTACATATCACAAATAACAGGACTCAGAATAACATCCAAGCATTGGAATGTCTTTTCAAATTCAACTTGTCTGGGGGGGGATGTTTGGCTAAAACAAATTCATGAAATTCCTTCTTTACAGAATTCTGCAAAAACAAATTTCTAAAAGTGAATAAATAAATTTAAGTCCATCATTTCACACACACACACACGTAGCTTTAGGTATTTTAATTCCTTTTCTGGCTCATGCATGTATTGCTGTAACAAAAACAAAGAAAAACAAAACGCTGACATTAAACCTGACATATGTTGTCAATAGAATTTATTACTTCAGTCATGTTGAAAAACAGCTTTTTCTTGAGGTAGATGTTGTGGAGGAACATGATCATTGGTATTATGAGAATATGACTTTAAGCAGATGTTTACTAAGATTCATTTAGTTGGACACAAGAAAATCAAATTGGAATTAAACTTATAGCAATGATTAATTTACTAGATACACAGCATTCTTTAGTAAAGAAAACCATGACTAGATAATATTATCACCGAGTACCAAGATTATAGTACATATATGCATAGTCGTGGTTAAGGCAGGACTGGGATTAATCTTGCACAAAGCAAGGAGGCTCCTGCCTGACAAAGGATTTGTCATAATGCAAGTTTGAGGCAAGTTTTTACCAGGCCGGATGCTCTTCCTGACACCAACTTGGACATTCACAGTAGTCCAAGTACAAAGTGGTTTTATTAAAATATCATGTCTAGGGAGGTTGCCATTCAAGGCTTGAGACATCATCCTTATATATATATATATATATATATATATATATATATATATATATAATGACTTTAAAAAGTTAACTACATTATAAAATAGCTACAAATAACTACATTTGGGTGCTGTTATTTTCTCACCAATAGCCT